CTGGGAGCAAAGGCTAGCGGATTACAGTTTTCCTATTGTTCTGAACAGACGTGGAACTCCTACTTTCTACATGCTGAGAACTGGTCTGTGTCAGGTGCAAGTGCAGATAGGTGCTTCTCAATAAAAATACACAGAAGAAGAAAGTGAAGAAAATTGCTTGAAGCTATATTGTGAATCAAGTCTAATTCACCACTTGAACTCAGATCTTACAGCTAGTCTTTTGAGACTGAGAATACAAACTGCTAACGCTCACCGTAGCCAAGGCCAAATGTAAGAAAAATGTGTCTTATTAAAAAAAAAAAGAAGTGTAAGTTTCCCTGTATACATGCTGCTTTGTGTGTGGTATATAATACAGTCTTCCAGATAAATTCCTTGGATCTAATCCTGTTCTCATTAAACCCATACAGCCCTACACACACTAATGTAACTGAGGAAAGAGTTTGTTCCTATAAGAATTATATTTCTAATAAGAAAGAAGCAGAAGCTTTTGGCAAATAACCTATATTGCAACTCTTATTGAACATGCTAAAACAAAAAACATAAAGCAAAGAACTGCTTACTGTAGGAGAAGATCAGGTCCGAGACCATCTAAGGAACCTGAAGGCACACAAGTCTATGGTACCTCATGAGGTGCATCTGCAGGTCCTGAGGGAACTGGCGGATGAAGTTGCTAGGCCACTATCCATCATATTTGAGAAGTCATTGCAGCCTCGTGAAGTTCCCAGTGACTGGAAAAGGGGAAAGTAACTCCCATTTTTAAAAAGGGAATAAAAGAAGACCCAGGTAACTACAGGCTGGTCAGTCTCACCTCTGTGCCCGGCAAGATCATGGAGCAGATCATCCTGACGACTATGCTAAGGTACATGGGAAATAAGGGGGTGATTGGTGACACCCAACATGGTTTCACAAAGGGCAAATCCTGCCTGACTAATTTGGTGGCCTTCTATGATGAGGTTACAGTGTTGATGGATAGGGGAAGAGCAACTGACATCGTGTACCTGGACTTGTCCAAAGCATTTGACATTGTCCTGCATGACATCTTTGTCTGTAAATTGGAAAGACATGGTTTTGATGGATGGAGCACTCGGTGGATAAGGAATTGGCTGGATGGTCACACTCAAAGAGTTATGGTCAACGGTTCAATATCCAAGTGGAGGCCAGTGACAAGCGGTGTTCCTCAGGGGCAAGTACTGGGGCCAGCGCTGTTTAACATCTTTGTTGGTGACATGAACAGTGGGATCGAGTGTACCCTCAGCAAGTTTGCCAATGACACCAAGTTGTGTGGTGGTGTGGACACACTGGAGGGAAGGGATGCCATCCAGAGGGACCTTGACAGGCTTGAGAGGTGGGCGTGTGAGAACCTAATGAAGTTCAACAAGGCCAAATGCAAGATCCTGTACGTCCCATGTACAGGTACTGGCTGGGCGGAGAACAGATTGAGAGCAGGCTGGAGGAAAAGGACTTGGCAGTGCTGGTGGATGAGAAATTCAGCATGAGCCGGCAATGTGTGCTGGCAGCCTAGAAAGACAACCGTATCCTGGGCTGCATCAAAAGAAGCATGGCCACCAGGTTGAGGGAAGTGATTCTGCTCAGCTCTCGTGAGACCCCACCTGGAGTACTGTGTTCAGCTCTGGAGTTCCCCAACACAAGAAGGATGTGGAGCTGTTGGATCGAGTTCAGAGGAGGGCCAAGAAGATGATCTGAGGGCTGGAGCACCTCTCCTATGAAGACAGGCTGAGAGAGTTGGGGCTGTTCAGCCTGGAGAAGAGAAGGGCCTGGGGTGATCTTATTGCAGCTGTCCAGTACTTAAAGGGGGCCTACAGGAAAGCTGGAGAAGGACTTTTTACAAGGGTATATAGTGATAAGTCAAGGGGCAATGGCTTTAAACTGAAAGAGGGCAGATATAGGTTAGCAATAAGGAAGAATTTTTTCACTCAGAGGGTGGTGAGGTACTGGAACAGGTTGCCCAGAGAAGTTTTAGATGCCCCATCCCTGGAAGTGCTCAAGGCCAGGTTGGATGAGGCTTTGGGCAACCTGGTGTAGTGAAGAGTTTCCCTGCCCATAGCAGGGGGGTTGGAACTAGACGATCTTTGAGGTCCCTTCCAACCCTAACCATTCTATGATTTTTTAAATTGTATTTACCAATCACATTTCACTTAGAAAACATCAAATATTCCATTAGAGCATTGTCTGGGTGATTTCCCCAATTCCATCACCTACTTTTTTCCTGTGGGAGAATTTGAACTGGAGAGATTTACAAAATGCAGTAATATTTCCTACTTTCTATAGAAACTTTTGAAAAAAACCCTGTTTTGGAATTGGCCATATCTTGGTCTTGCTTTCTTTTTTGATCGTTACGTAATAAGACACATGAGAAAGCACATGGAGAGAGTCTTATAATTTTGTTCTCCTTCAAATTACTTTCTTCATTTTCCTTCAAGTTATCATCATTATGAATGAAAAAGTGAAACCACAACTCTTCTATAGACACATACATTTCGGTTTCTGTCGTGGGTAGTTGGTGAGCAGTCAGCTGTATTCCTTGAAGAGTGCTTGGTCTGTTTCTTACATTTGTGAGATGTCTTTTAGGCATTATGATTGTAATATTTTTAATGTACTAATGGTTTACAGACTGAGTTTGGGGGTTATCTATTTCACACTTATCCATGGTGTTATTCTTTTGCTTCAAATAAAAAGTTATTGATGATCAGTTTCTTCAGATAAATTTTTAAGACAAAAATTATTTCCAATCTTCAACTCTGCCTATTTTGCCAAGGAATTTAACATAGTCTGTGCCACTGATGTCAGCAAGAATAGGATCAAGGAGTGGGATTTAATTTACTTAACTGTAACAGAAGAAGTCAGAAATAGCTTTAGCAGTTAAATTACTTGTGGCAGAATTGTTTGTTTATGTCTCTAATATTCCTGTGGTATATTTTTGAATGATAGATCATTTAAGCTGACTCACAGATCTGAAAGATTAACATCTTACCAATATTCAGTTACCTTATTCCATATTCTTGTTAGTGTAAGAGGCAGTTTAACTGAAAAATGAATGCTAATAAAATGCCTTTTTAGTAATTCATTTTGAAAACCATTTGACCTTAACTACAATGAAAGTAGACTGTAAAAATCATCATAGATTCCCTTCCTTGAACTTTTCACAATGCTGAAAAATGACTGAGGGAAAGAAGCAAGATCCAGTTACTGTACCCTGTTTGTACAGCTGTACTTCATTGAGTGGAAGCTTGTGTTACACACAGTTTGTGATAGGAAGTAAATGCTTTTAAAACAACTAAGGAGACAGGTCTTTAACCTCCACCTTTTCAGATGCTTTGTTCACTCATTTAGCTTCTGTCGAGGTCTTGGGAAACATTTCAAATACAAATTATTATTGAGTAGTGAAGCTCACCTGAATAATTCATCTCCTGGTGAGCTTGTTAGTCAGAGATGCATTAAGATGTTTTCAGGGCTTTTTTTGAGAGAGAGAGATCACTAATTCTTGATATAGTGAACACTTGTTCCTTCAGGAACAAATGCATTCAAAGAGGGAAGAATTTTCAGATTGAGTGTTAAGCATTTTATGGGAGTTTTAATTCAGCAATCATAAGAATTTTTTGAGGACCTTTGAAAATGATGTTGTCGTGTAAATTACCAAACTGTCAAAATTAATTAGATTTAAAATTCTCAGTTTCTAGTGTACAAGACTGTTACCTCCTGTTACAAGACTGTCTAGTCCCCTGAAATGGTGAAGACACCTTGAAATTCATTAAGAGAATTTTTTGGCATTACTTTATATTGCAAGTACATGTTAATCATCAGACCTAAACTATTTGATGTAAGCTTGGCACCAGGTAATTTCAGGACTTTAAATACACATTATAAGATGATTCTGTGAATGAGATTCTTGTATCTGCCAAAGGCACTTCTCTAATTGCTGCAGCGAAACAAGTCAGTGGCAATGGGAGTGTGCAGCTGGCCGTTAGCCAGTAAACTTTTAATTTCTGTAATCAGCTGAGGGTTTTTGTACACTTCATTCCTTGGAATACACGTGACCTTAAATTTAGGTTTATGCTAAACACACATTATTTGGGCCGCATTAACCACCCACTTTCTCATTTGCTATAACTAAGGTCATCCTTGTAGCTATCCATCTGATGGCCATGAACGTTTTTAGTCTTAACCTCCCACTTACGACTGTCCAGATATCAATATACAATGCAGAGGGGCTGCCCAGATCTGCACTTAATTTTGAAGTGTTCTTCTTCACTGCAGTGCATTAGAGGTGTCATGCCTTCAGAGGACATGGCTGACACTGGTTTTGCCCGTATTCCAGCAACTTTTTTTGAACCGTAACACAATAGAGCCATTGCTCTCCTTTGGCTGCGTCCAGGGTTCTCAGCAAGTGACCGTTTGTTTTTCCATTTGTCACTAGTGGGCAGGCAATCGCTGTGTTTTGCGGTCTGTGTTATAAGCGGGCTTGAAGACTTACGTGTTCCAGAAAACTGTAAGCATAACATCAGAAACCCGTTGAGTTGTTTAAATTTGAAGCATGAGATTTTTGGAATGTTTTGTGTCCCCTTCTAGTCCCCTTCTAAACAAATGCAGGCATGAAAGCATCCGCAGTCGTTGTCTCTCTGAACCTCATAACAGGACTCTTACTGACTCATGTTACCAGGACTCCGCTAAGGCTTTCTGGCTGTTTAACTCTCATCTCACACTCTCATTCTTCTTCTCTTCCTGCAATGATTTTAGTTCCTGCCACAGCCTCACCTTCCACAGCATGAAAGTTACACTGACTTGTGTCTACTTACTGACATTGAACCCAGCCTACCCAAACTCGGCTCTGAGCATTAGATTTTATTACCTGCTACACTATGGTCAAATAGTGAAGTGTAAATTGGGGGATTAGTTGCTTTTAACTTAACAAAAAAGGCCTGGGAAGCAAATGTTGCTTTGTTCTCGAGTACATACCTCATTAGAAATTATGTGTTTTGCAGAGGTTAATATACTATGGGCAGCGCACCAAATACATCACAGTTCTGAAGATTACAACTTATTCACAGCCTTGAGACAATCTGTACTGCAGAAATACACCTCCTGGGTAAGTTATGCAAGATTCAACAAACATATTAATATCAGCAAGATTTAGTAAAAGTGAAAACATGGTGTTTATTTCCCTTCGAAGAAAAACATATAAATTATGTAAGATGTTTGACACTGAAAGCACAGAAGTTGAAACTGAAGAATTAAGCTTTAAAAATACATTCATTAATCTTTTTAAGGCAAACTTGGAAAGAGGTGCAGTAGTTAAGTTTAAGAAGGTTAATTATAACCCTGCATTTATATTTTCATAACTTTTTGAGTAAAACGGGACATTTTTTTGCGTTCTGTTATTCATGCATAAGTATGGGAAAAGATCAGATTATAACATAACTATTCTAGAATATGTCTGTGTAACTGAAAGAAGCAGGGAGAGAAATCATTGCTAAAGATTGCTTTGGGCATGTGAATGTATTTATTTGTCTCTGCTCATTCACATCATGTGACTGCACTCTAGTAAGGGCAAAATGCCACTGCTTTTACCTAGTGTTATTTCAGATATAATGGATTTAAAATGGTGAACTCTGCACATGCAATATAAATTAAGAACAGTACTCATTTACAGATTAAAAAAATGTATATTTCCAAATACATTCATAAATGTAACATACTATTGAGTGTTTAGTTTTGGACCCAGGATAACTACTGATTTCCTCAGTTTCACCCGCATGTTCTCTTGACTATTTTTTAACTCAGATTGTAGTTTAGTGGGTTGGTTGTTATTTGTTTTTTTTAAAAAGAATAATATCTTCAAAATTTGAATTTTCAGAATTAGAGTTCAAAACCAACATTCAATGTTGTTTTGTATCTATAAAATATGTAAATGCTCTTCTCCAATGATGTGTAATACTTGTGGTGGAGGAAAAAACCCACAGTCCTCTGGCAATCTCTACATCTAGCCTATGAGCAAATGACTCAAAGCCAAGAGTGTGTGCTCACACATGCAAATCCAGTGTAACTCCGTTAACTTCAGTAAAGTTAGTCTGGATTTATGCTCACATAAATGAGCATGGACTTATCCTGTTGTTCATAACTATTTCAAGCCCGTGACATTAGATGAGTTAAAGGGCTAGGTTCCAAAAAATAACTAGTTCTGGAAATTGTGGAACAGATACATTTTGTTTTGTTTCTTACAGTCTTCTTTGTGAAGTCTTGGGTTTTTTTTTAATTCAGAAAATAGTCATCTAATCTAGTAGAAGTGCCTCAAATTTAAATGGCCATAATGAACAGTAACGGAAGGGATGTGTCTCTGTCACAACTCTGCTTCCTATGTAAATACTGCCATGTTAAAGATTTAACCTTTGCACATTTACCCATTGGGACCATATGTGCAAATGCTTAACAAAAACAATAATTCAAAAAAGACAAAAAGCCTGTGTGTACATATGGGTGTGTGCTTGAGCACTTTGTCTGCCTGTGTGATTTTGAGGATGATACCTCAGAGAGCATAAAATATTCAGGAAGGCCAAGATGTCTGGCCTCCTTAGTTTCTGAAGACCATCCTCAGGACCACACTGGTATCACTTGGCAAATAATGTATATACAATTAAAATTAATTTGCTTGGAGGAAAAGGAAACAAACCTAGGAATCCGTAATACTTTCGTGTGCAGTTTTTTTTCCACCAAATATTTGGTGTTAGCTGAGACATTTGGTTAATGTAAATATCAATTTACCTCCTCCTGAGAACTTCTGAGAGATGTGCCAGTTTTCTTTCTCCAAAGACTTACTGTACATGAACACAATTCTTTCTAGTTCTTATAGCACTGCTGGTTTTTTGGACTCCCACACTTGTCCAGAACCCCAAGGATACATCTGCCTTGAAGCTGAAACTCAGTGAAGCCTTCTGTTAATGTCAGAGTGATCCGATGTTGCTGAATGTGTACTGTGGAATGCAGCTGGACATACAGTTTTGTGGCAGCTGTGAGAAAGTTTTGGTGGATGATCTGGGATTGTGGGACTATTCTGCTGCCAACTCTATTGTGTTTTAAGTCAAACATTATAAGATAAATAAATCAGCATATTAATCTGTGTGGGTTGTACTTGAGCTGATTGAAAAGATGTGAAATGAAAGAGAAGAGAAAAACATGCTTGAAGTACAATCAGTGGTGTGAGATGTGTTCCTGAACTTGGAACCAAATGTGTATTGCTTCATGTTGTTTGCACACACAGTGTTTCTGTTTATCCAGTGGAGGGGCTACAGAGAAGCAGACCTACTGTTAGACTGAGAGATGGCTTTGAAGCCCATTCTCCAGGAAAAATATGTGCAAAAAAAATGTTTATTCGTTTTTAAGAAGAAATCATCAAGCTAATGCTATATAAAGTTGTGTTGTGTTTTTGTTTTTTTTTTTTCCTGATGAAACGCTCAGTTAAAGTGTAATTGTGAAAGGAGAAAGTAATATACACACTTTGAAAAGCTGTGATTTAATTCTCTGAGTACCAGTTCTCAACTATCCTCCAAGGGTAAGGATTAATTGCAAATATTACATCCATAATAAATTGATAGCTTTAGACTATGCATTTAGATAAAGGGTTGAATTATGCCTCATTGGTTTAAAAGCCGTTGAAACATCTGTATATAAATCTGGAAAGGGAACAGGCAACGCTGTTCTTTTCAGCACAGTCACAAAGTTCACGGCTTATCTACTGAGGAGTCTGCCAAGTCTGGGACTTGTAAGGGATGGGGTTTTTTTTCAGCCCTTACCTTTAACTCCTGCAGAATTCTCACAGAAGTGTAACCCACATGAACTAGCCGCTGGCCGCTGCCCCTCAGCCCCGCTGCACCCCGCAGCCCCTCCGCGGCCACATCGGCAGGTGGCCCCGGAGACTGAGCGTGGAAACGGAGGGGCTCAGCGCAGGAAACTCAGCTCTCCTGCTACACCTCAGGAGTTTCAAAATTTTCCTTTTCTGTAGTGGAAGAGCTTATAAGCTTTTACTTAGAAGTGAGAGGGAGAAAAGTAGAGCAAGCCCATGCCAGAGAGTGTGCAGCAGCCGCACACCCTTCAAAAGGGACAGTGCCCAACGGGTAAAGGCACGCAGCGACAGCACGGTGGCCCAGATAGGAGCCCCTCTCCACCCCCTCTGTGAGTGCCTTTCCCATCAGGTTATCAGTTATTGTGGCTCACTCTCAGTCTCTGTTGCTGAATCCACAAGTGGGAAAAGATCTGTGACTGTGATAAATGTTTTTCTGCAGTTTTGACCAGAAATTCCATCTTGAAACCAGAACAGCTTTTCCTCTACAGATTAGTGAAAGTTGGTACATTCCCATGAAGTGTTTTGATTTGGTGAATTGACATTTCCAGTGAAAAAGTATTTAATGATTTTTTTTTTTCCCCCAACATTGATCTTATTTTTCCAATGGAACCACAAATAGGAGAAACTAAATCTTTTGTATGGGAGAAGTTTTAATTCCTCCCTATGGATTCTGCTTTTGTAAAGGATCTTTGAAATCCTTTCTGTGCAAAATACAGCTTACATTGCAAAGAAACATGAGGCAGTTAGGAAAGCATTCTCCTTTGTCAATCTCAAATTTACTTGTAGATTTATACAAAATTTCCCTCATCTCACTGCTTAGCAGTGAAATCCTAGTACTCATTGTGAGAAGTAGGTTAGAAAATAAGTATGAAGATGATCCTTCCTTCCCCTCTGAGTCCTCTGTAAATACTACCAAATTGCCTCTGATACTTTTAGGGAAAAGGCATATAATTTTTAACTCTACTTTCAATCTTGCAACCACTTCCATGAGCAATCTGAAAACCATTTATTATGATTTTTTTTTTGAATCAACTTCCTCTCCATTCCTTTTAAAAAATTTCCTGCTCTTACCATGCCATTAGACAGGTACAATCAACAATAAGAGGAAACTGCAGCAGCTTTACTTAAATGTGGCCATGTGCCTTACTCCTTCGTTGGCTTCTTTGTGAGATAACCTTTGAGAAAAAGCATGCCAGCCTTCTGGCTGTTGTGAGGCAAATGTCTCTCAGTCTCTCTTTTTATTTTTTATAGCTTGCCCTTTTAATAATTAAACACTAAGGGGGTCCAGGTTAGAGGAAGAAGAAAAAGGAACTCTGAAGAGAGTTTGACTCCATGCCAGTGTTCAGGGCAATTCTTCTAAAGCATGGGAGGCCTGCACTATGTTTCTGTTTCAGAGCATGGAGAATTATGGGTTTGAAAGTCACTCTTCTGTTTAGTAGTCTTCTGCACAAGGCAATCTGATCTACATTTTTAATTCTTGAGGAAGGCTCATGCCCAACTCTTCTCCAGAATTTCATGCCTAAATGCCTCATCCCCCTCAATGACATTTACTAGCTCCCACCTTAGGTAAGATTTGCTATGAATTTTTGTGAGTTTACTTAGACTGAGTGATTTTTAGGAATTGAATGTGCAAATTTCATATTCCAAATATATTTTGCTTTTTTTTTTGTTTTATATGCAAACACTTCAGGTGTTGAGGATCAGACTGATTAAAACAAAATAGTTGTTTATATTGTTTCCCCCAAGTTCAAGAAGCTCAGCATAATCCTTCTATCACCTTTGAATTCCTTTACTTCTTGGAAAAGAACTTTGAAGACATACAACCAGGAACACGCAATATGTAGTTTGTGGGGCAGCTGTGATCCATGAAGCCTTTGAATGTAGTTTTTGAAATCACAGCTGTCCCAGCCCTACCAGATGATGCTGAAGCTGCAGTGACTTAAGGGTTTCTTTCTAACATTTCAGTCATTGGTGTTGAAGCCATCAGACTGAGCTGGGATTGCAGGGCCTTAGTCCTCCATTGGCTCGTGACAATGAGATACGGCTGTGGTGACTTTCTCGAGAGCATCAATCACGTCACAGGGATGGAGGTGCAGCCCCAGTGTGACATCTTACCTATTGGGTAGGCTTTTTGATAAAAACTAAGGGAATATCTGCATTAAATGCTGTGTGCAGACCTACACTAAAGGAATTCCTGGCTCAGGAGGCTTATTATGGCTATCAGATCGCTTTCTCTGATGTTCAAAGATTTGATTTTTTTGTGAGAAGGACAATAGGAATTTGAAAACAGTTTGCTAATTTTGCTCTGTGTTTCACAGGGAGCTCTTATCTATTATCCAGATTTTCCCTGAGCGCTGAAGAGATTTAAAGTTTTGAAGATACCGCCACTACTGTTTGTTTTAGAAAAAATATCTGTGTTTTAGGGAAGGATTAACTTCCTAATGCAGCTGGTATAACACAATGTTAGGTAGAAAAAAAAAAAGAAAAAGCCTTTTTCTGAAGAAAGCAGACCAACTTTTAACATGTGAAGGTCTTGGAAGTCTTATTCTATGTCTCAGCCAGTTAAGCAGTTAATTGTGAAATTCCTGGGACTTTACTCTGTATATAAGATATCAGTGTGATTCCTAAGTAAGCAGTTTTCTGAAACTGTTTTCATGCTAGCATATCTTTAGAACTCAGCAATATACTGGGGCTTCGAGGGAGATGCTGTGAGAAAGTTAAGGTGAGAATTTGTAATTAACTTTGAAAGCCAAGAAAACTGCCTTGCCTTTATGGTGCTCATGTAGAGAGTTTTGATAGAAAAGCTATAGTGTTATAAATTCACAGCTTGCTTACGCTGTGATAATTCTCCCCTATAAGTGAACCCTTCATGTCAAGGGTATGTTGCTGTCTGCTCCATATAGTACACAGAATAAGCACATAAGCTCAGGATTTCTGAGTTCTTTTCTTGAATTTTCTACCTGCTCACATTACGACTTTTGGCAAATCACTTTTGCAGCAATTTACGTCTCATTTGCTATAGCATATCTAGTAGTAACATAGTAATCAGTATCTATTCTACATAATGTCTACATTATGGATGTATTAGAAGAAGCAATTATCTTATGCAGTGCTTTGAGCTCCTGAGATAGTACTTTGTTATATCATCACAAGTTTAGAATGATATATCTAATTTATATTTTCTTTCTCATTTTTCAGATTTTCAACTTGCCCATGGCTCTTTTTATTCCACCTTCAGTGTTTGCTGTTCATCTACAGTTTAATCTACTTTACCAGTTTTGGATACATACAGAGGTAAAACCAGGTTTTTAAACCATACCTAAACAGTTAGCCTGGAGCAGTGTCCTGGAAATTTGCTAGCAGCTGATTTATTGTGTAAGAAAAATCTTTGTCTGACTTCTTTAAGGAGAAACATCTGTTCATTTTTATTCCTTTTTCTGAATATATATTGCTAAGTTTATAAGAAGCAATGAGGCCAGTTGGTCCTGATTAGATTAAAAAAAAGTAACTAAGGAATCAAAACTTTTTGCTATTTTAATACTGTATTTTCCCATCTTGCAGCTTATTAAACATTTCTGGCAGATACTGAAACTGATTTCATTTCTCAGATAAATATTTTAGGGAAAAATATACAAACCCCACTGCTTCTTAAAGATTATTTAGAGTTAAAACTGAAGTCAGATATTGTTTCCTTCTTACTGCAAGTGCTTCTCAGGTGAAAATGCTCTTTCATTATCTGATGGCTATTTGTTTATGACTGTTTATTTATTTATTTATGAATTTATTTATGAATTTGTTTATTTGTGTTTTGTGAGTACATAGACCGTATCTATTTTATGTACACATACACTTAATAACCCACAGTAATTAGTAGGTAGTTTCCCAGACTTCTCGGGTGGTTGAACGGCTGCCTGCTTTCTCCCTCGTGCTACAGTGGAGGTGTTTAAAAGCATCCCGTGTTATATGTCAGTAGCCCCTAGCGGACTGTGGGCTAATTATCTCTGCAGCGCTTTTACTCCTTTGATTTTTTCTGACTGTACAGATGCTTTTTTCCCTCTGTAGTTTCATTATGTGATCTATAAGACGATTCTTTTGGAAGACAATTTTATTTTCTTTACTTGCTCTTTTAGGTGATTATGTTAAATTTCAGGTTTTATTTTCTCTTTTCTGTGTGTTTTCTTTAAAAAAAAAATATTTTTAAAAAAAGCTACTTACAGTGGCCTAATAGAAAACTTCTATTGTTGAAATATCACTTCTGTTCGGCACATTTCTAAAATCATTAATATATGTCTAAAATTATTAATACATGTTGCTCTGCAACACCACGTGAATAGGAGAGGCTTACACACATCACCAGAACTAGCACAAACTCAAGCAATACACAATTAAACTTGTCAAAATTTTTTGAACAAATTTGAACACTTTGAAATTATACCCAATGAATATTCTGAGTCACATGGTAGCAAAGTTTCTTTGATCATGCCTTAGGTTTCCCAAACTGGTTTAACTGTGTTTTACCACTAAGAAAAGTATATTATATCTCATCTACCTCTTCTCTGCTGTCTAAAGCCATTTCTTCTTGGCTGAGATTTTTCTTATGTTCTGCTGTGTAGCAGTAACTGGATGAGTCTTAGCACTGGTGAGACAGGGTGCGTCTGAAGTTTCTAAAGTGAATTTCAGAGACTTACGAGTCACCTACATCCCTCTAAAGCGCTAAATCCTTCATAGGGCTTATAAGGAATTTCCATAGCGTATGTGCTATGTGCCAAGTTTAGACACTAGTCTAAACAGGAATGAATTTCAGTCTCAATGAAAAGATAAGAACTCTTTGCTATTAAAGTATCGTGCCAGTAGAAAAACAATGGATCTTTTGTACTGATCCAATCCTAGATCTTTGTTTACAAGGGAAGATATTCTTAATATTGATACTGTTGATTTTGTAGCACAGCTAAAATTGGTTGAAATATGTTGAAGTCATGCTTTAAGGTAAAAAAACAGTTCTAACTATCTTACACTAATGATAGTAGAATGAAAATCCTTTCTGTAAGTCTCAGTTTCCTAACATATGAGGTTTGTTTGGGGCTGCAGGCCAGGGGTGATACAGAAAACATCATCATATCTCAGTGACTGCTGCTAGCTCTTGCGCTGAGAACTGAGATTCATCATCCGATGACACCAAGCTGTGTGACACAGTCGACACACTGGAGGGGAAGCTATCCAGAGGGACCTTGACAGGCTTGAGAGGTGGGCCTCTCTGAACCTCGTGAAGTTCAACCAAGGCCAAGTGCAAAGTCCTGCAAGTGGGTTGGGGCAATCCCAAGCGCAAGTACAGGCTGGGCAAAGAATAGATTGAGAGCTGCCCTGAGGAAAAGGACTTGGGGGTGTTGATGATGAGAAGCTCAACATGAAATGATAATGTGCACTTGTGGCCTGGAAAGCCAACTGTATCCTGGGCTGCATCAAAAGAAATGTGGCCAGCAGTGGAGGTGGAGGGAGGTGATTCTTCCCCTCTACTCTGCTCTCTTGAGACCTCCCCCACCTGGAATACTGCATTCAGGTCTGGAGTCCCCAACACAAGAAGGACATGGAGCTGCTGGAGCGAGTCCAGAGGAGGGCCCCGAAGACAATCTGAGGCCTGGAGCACCTCTCCTGTGAAGACAGGCTGAGAGAGTTGGGGTTGTTCAGCTGGGAGGAGAGAAGGCTCTGGGGTGATCTTATCGCAGCCTTCCAGTACTTAAAGGGGGCCTACAGGAAAGCTGGAGAGGGACTTTTTACAAGGGCATGTAGTGACAGAACAAGGGGTAATGGCTTTAAAATGAAAGAGGGTAGACTGAGTTTAGATCTAAGGAAGAAATTCTTCACTGTGAGGGTGGTGAGGCACTGGACAAGGTTGCCCAGAGAAGTTGTCGCTGCCCCATCTCTGGAAGTGTTCAAGGCCAGGCTGAATGAGGCTTTGAGCAACCTAATCTAGTGGAAAGTGCCCCCAGTCCATGGCGAGGGGTGGACCTAGTTGAAGTTTAAGATCCCTTCCAACCCAAACCATCCTATGATTCTATGATCTTCTAGCAGCTCTGGTGTCCTCTGGGAGCCTGTGGCATGTGTAAGAAGGGGACAAAGGAATCCGAGTCAAGCAGTGAAGAGAGGAGTGAGCCTGGGGGGGCTGCCCTCTGCCACCTCTCCTTCTGGGCAGGCAGCTGCCCACGCTGGGCTGCTGCCGCTCGGCTGGAGATGGCCGCAGCGGCACAGCGTGGAGCACTCCAAAGCACCCGGCTCCTGAGGTGCCGCTGGGCTGAGTTCGTCCTGACAGCATTGCTGAGGCTCATCGGGCCGGCTGGGCACAGCGCAGCTGCAGCAGAAAGAGGGCTAAGAGTTGAGAGAAATGGCCATGCAGACACCAGGTCAGTGAAGATGGAGCAGGAGGAGGTGTGCCAGAGCTGAGATTCCCCTGCAGCCTGTAGTGAGACGGCATTAGCCCCTGCAGCATATGGAGATTAAGGGTGGAGCAGTGATTCACCTGCAGTTCGTGGAGAACCCCACGCCAGAGCAGAAATGTCTGTGCCTAAAGGATTTGTAAAGGACTGTCTCCATGGGAAAAGGACCCTCATGCTTTGGAGACTGATGGTGGAGCGGACATGTCTGTGGGAAGGAACTCCATGTCAGGCAGGTGGCTGCACCCAAAGAAGCCGTGACTCTCTGGGAAAAGGCCGTGCTGGAGCAATTTGATGGGTAAGGATTGCATCCTGTGGGAAGGACTCACGTTGGAGAAGTTCGTGGAGGACTCTCTTCCATGAGGAGGGGTCTCATGGTGGAGCAGGGTAAGAGTGTGAGGAGTCCTCCTCCTTAAGGAAGAAGCAGCAGAAACAGCATGTGATGAACTGACCTGCAACCCCCACTCCTCATCCCCCCTGAGCTGCTGGGGGAGGAGGTAGGGCTGGGAAGAAGGCAGGGGTAGTGGATGGGGGTTTTAAGATCTGGCTTTGTTTCTCATTATCCTCTCTGAATGAACTGTTAAATTAAATTGATTTGTCCCCAAGCTGAGTCTGTTTTGCCCAGGGCCGTGGTTGGTGGGTGATCCCTCTCTGTTCTTATCTCGACCCTCAGGCCGTTTGTTACATTTTTCTCCTTTCCACCGCACCTGGAGGGAGGAGTGAGGTACCAGCCCTATGGAAGCTTAGCTGCCCACTGCACTAAACCACAACAAAATGTTAAGTATGTCCTTAGATTTCTATTGCTTTATGTTTCCTTAGGCAAGATTTAGCCCTATATTGACTAGTCAAATATGTTTGGAAATTGTAACTTCATGACTTTTGATTACTCGTATTTCTCCTTCAGAAAAAGAAAATCTATTAAGATACAGTAAAAAAATTATCTTTTCTTTAATAGGCTTTTTTTTCATAGCACTGAAAAGCTTAATAAGAGTAATGCACAATTTATTGTTTTATGAAAGGAAAAAAGACATAATCTTTAAGCAATAGGAAAGAACAAAAGCATCTGACAGTTTCTGAGGAAAGATGTTTTGGTTTGGGAGTAATTTAAATTTAATTCGATAGTTACAAGAGAAGGATTGTGTTGTGCTGAAACTTTCTATGCCATGTTTCTGCCTAGAGCAAAATTTTATAGCCAAAGTATGATCCCTGATATTTTCCTATACTTTAATTTAGAATGTGTGCAGTGCTGTTTCAAACAATGCTAAGAGAAGTTTCCTGTGTTATAACTTTGACCTTGTTCATATTTATTACATCAGTTTTTGTCCAGCTTTCCTACCAGCAAATCAGATGTGGTCTATTTTATTTTAACTCAAGTGGCTCGTATATTCCTGTGAAGACAGTATACCAAATCATAAAGATCAAAAGTACCCACTCATTCTATCTCAGTTAGACTTCTTTATTTCCTGCATACTTGGTATACATTAGCTTTTGGCCTTTAATATAAAGTAGTACAGCATTTTAAATACCATAAATGTTATATAAAGATTCTACTATACCATAATTTTAATCATAATAAAAGATCTCTAGCACCAAAATCAGAACAGGTTATTGATACAAGAAAGGCATTTTTGTAATTAATAAAGAATATTTAGGTGCGCTAGAGTGAAAACACGACTTTGTGACTTAAATTATGCATTTGCTTTAAACTGTATTCTCCCATTAAGAGCTTTGCTGTCTGAAGTTCACTTTTTTTCACAGCTTCTGTGCATTATTGCACTGTGTACGTGACAGTCGGAAATGATATCAAAAATTTTCCAAAGATTTTTAAAAAATCTCTGAGTAGCACCAAGGTATTGAAATAAACTC